CCTCCTTCCAGGAATCCATCTGGTGAGTGTGTGTGCAAAAAAATGGGGGGGGCATTTTCTGGGTGCAAAGGGGGGGCGAAAGGGGGGGTTCCCAGGTGAAGGCGCCCCCCCCCCCGAGAAAGGCAGCTGGAGATTTAAAAAAGAGAGAGAGAGAGAATAGGTGGTTGGATCTTGGCATAGGATTTGTAGAAGGGGGGGCAATGACTTTTCTTTTCTTTTTTAAAGGACTGAAACGTCAAAATAAATATCAGATATTTAAACTTCAGAGAACGGGGCCAGCCTTTGAGCAACACGGGTCTCTTCATCAGGTCTCCTCTTTGCTGAGATGGAAGGGGTAGGGGAGGTGGGGGAGGAGAAAAAAAGGAGCATGCCACTTCAAAAGGGCAAGATGATGTAAAAAATATGAAGATTTTCTCTCTCTGTGTGTGTGTGTGTGTGTGTCCCCTCATCATCACGTCATGCAGTGTTGGCCAGGGGAAGGCGGCCCTGATTATTTTGCCATGAACGGGGTGGGGAGAGAGGGAAATTAAAAAGGAGAGGCTCTGGTGATGTTTTATGCCAAATCCGCCCCCCCCAAAAAAACAAGCACAGGTAAAGCCATTTTTTAAAAAGAGCATCAAAAAACAATGAGCAAGGTTTTCAGTGCTGCAGGTCTCTACGTCAGGGTGCAGGTAGGGGGATGGGAGGGGAGTGAAGGGTGGGAGAAAGGGAAAAGTCCCCCCCCAAAAAAATAAGCATAGCCAGGGTGATTTTTAATAACTCTTCCTGCTCCAACTGAATGTCAAGGCGAGTTTCAACCTGCGGGACTCAAAAGCTTACCAGGGAAGGGACAGAGAGCTGTTATGGCTGGAAGGTGGGGAATGGAACGGCACCTTATCAAATGAGAGAGAGAGAGAGAAGGCTGTATGATGTTTAAAAAGAAAATAAAAAAATAGAAGCCCACTATCTTGGACTGATTCCAAACTAGGGCAGTCCAGATTGGTTTCTTTTGAGAGAAGATTTCATGGGTTTGATGCTTAATTCACATGAATTAATAAATCACATGGGAAGAGGACATGAACACAACCCAGGGCAGCTGCTTTTCAGAAAAAAAGGAAGGGGCTTTCTGAATGAATCTGTGCACTGATTCTTGCAAAATCCTTCCTAGTCAAGTAACATTCAGAAAAATGGCTTAACAAACCTTGATTTCTGTTGAGTCCATTTAAACCCGTGTCTATATTTTTTATGTCAGTTCTCTCGCGATCCTTGCGCTGTCATTTTTCTTCTCCGCAATATTCATGCTCAGATCATGCACAGAGTATCTCGATAAATCAAAAAGGATTTGAGACAGGTTGCCGTTCTGGAGAAGAAAAATGGCAGCACAAGAAGCCGGAGAGAGAGGATCTGAGATAAAATTTATACATATGTTTAAAACCCATTTTGGTGGACTCAATAGAAGCCAAGCTTTCTTAGGCCACCATCCGATGTAAAATATGGTGTTGCGTCTGCTCTAATTATTTCCAGCTATTTTTCCTTGCTAACTAAGCAAGGATGAGGAATGTTATCCATGGATCTGGAAGGATGTACGTTTGTAGCTCTCGTTAAGGCGTCGGTGGGAGTAGGGAAAGACTTGATAGCGGGGAACGGTTAAGGCTGGCGCCATCCTAAAGATGCTTCTTTGTCTCAGCCGGTGGCGAACGAGATGAAGGCTTGAGCATCCGCCTCGCGGCAGGAGGCGTGAAGACCCACGTCCTCCGAGTCTTCGTTCTCCGTTCCCGGCAGAAATTCTCCCCGTCTTCCCGCCTCGGTGGTGGTGGTGGTGGGTCCCGCTTCGCCTTCCGAAGGACGGTGAGAAAGATGTGGTCTCCCCCTCGCCCCAACCCGAGCCAGCCTTCGCCCCAGGGAGGAAAAAGGACCCCGAACAAGGAGATCCTGCGGGTCCTTTTAGAGGCGGAGCCACAGCAGAGAACCAAGATGGAAGAGATGGATCCGGATGACCCAGAGGCCGGAGAAGATCCCCGTTTCTCCTGGACCGGGAGCGGCAGAGAGTCATGGGAAGGGAGGGTGAAGGCCACCTTGGAGGAGGGGGAGGTCCCGAGCGTGGACACCTCGCGCCAGCGCTTCCGGGGTTTCTGCTACCAGGAGGCCGAGGGGCCCCGAGAGGCTTGCGGCCGCCTCCACGGCCTTTGCGTCCAGTGGCTCAAGCCGGAGAAGCACAGCAAAAGCCAGATCCTCGACCTGGTGGTCTTGGAGCAGTTCCTGGCCGTCCTGCCCCCGGAGATGGAGGGCTGGGTCCGAGGGTGCGCGCCCGAGACGAGTTCCCAGGCGGTGGCGCTGGCCGAGGGCTTCCTCCTGAGCCGGGCCGGAGGCGAGGAGGAGAAGAAGGGAGAAGAGCCGGTGAGTGAACAGGCGTTGCCTTTCTTTCTTTCTTTCTTTCTTTCTGTCTTTCTGTCTTTCTGTCTTTCTGTCTTTCTTCCTTCCTTCCTTCCTTCCTTCCTTCCTTCCTTCCTTCCTTCGTGGTTGTCGCCCCTGGCCTCCAACGGGTCAGGTGCGGGCTTGGGGGACAGCCCCATGACCCTTGTTCCAGGGAACGGTGGTGGTGGGATATGCCATTTCTGCCAGGGGACGGTGCTCCCAACAAGACGAGATGAACTCTCGGGAGTAATCAACACACATTAGAGGAACAGCTGCCTAGCGAGGCGACCCCTGGGCAAAAATCCGGAGATACTTCAAGGGAAGCATGTTTGCCAGGATCTTACCTTGGTTGCTACTATCCAGGCTGTTTAGATTCGTCAAGACTGGTCCCCAGGAAAGCGAGAGACCCTTCGGGTTGCCTCCACCCCATAATTTGCACAAATTGTTTCCCATGCCGTTTCCGTCGATGAAGCATGCGGGCGTGCACACACACACACACACACAGAGCAAGCCTGTCCGTGCCGTTTCCGTCGATGAAGCATGCAGGCATGCACACACACACACACAGAGCAAGCCTGAAAGGACAGGCTGTGCTCGTTTGCGATCAACCTATCCAGTGTTTCTGCTCTTCACTAGTCCATGTACAGGAGTTGAATTTTGTGTGTTTAGGAGGGACACACACACAAAAAAATCAGGGTTTTGCAAAAGCACAGGTTTCTCTCTCTCTGTTTGTGTGTTTGTGTTTCTCTCTAATTTCCATGAGTGCCACAGCACTACTCTGGGGGGAGGGAGGGGGATTCACATAAAATGTGCCATCATCACAATATAATACAAGCCATAGCAAGCTGACCACATGCACATAAAAGTTGGAAGAGCAAGGAAGAAATGAAGGAAAAGATAAAATTGTGACAATAACAATCAAAAGAGCAATCACCGGATGGAAACGTAAGGTTGCCTCCATTCAACCCCGGGTTGGCGGGGAAGTCCTCCCTGAAGAGCCTTCAGTGGCCCCTTAAATGTCACTGGCGGGGGGGGGAAATGGGGGAAACAGGCGAACTGATTAGGCAAGGATGGAGCCGCCCTCAAGAAGGCCATGCCTCTTGTAGATGATCGATTGATGGGCCTTCCCTCGAGGAAAAAGGCTGTTGTGCTTTTTTTGTCAAGCAGAAGAGGATGAGACGAGCAGGCATTTAGAGGTCCTCAGGATGCGGCCAGGATGGTATAGCCGTGCTTGGAAGGTTGAAGCAAGGTTTTTTTGGGGGGGGGTGTTTCAGAAGGACTCAGAAGTGTGATTCTTGGACTTTGCCCGTCCCGTTCCTTTCCTGTCCCAATTCCACTTCTATGCCTGAGCTTTTCTTTCCTGTCTTCCCCTCGCAGGAGCCGTCGTCGGAGGCAAGCAAGGATCTTCCTGACGGGGAGCAGGCTCTGGCGGAGACGGCGCAGGGGCCCCTCTTTGGGGGGTTCGTGCAGGACGGCGAGGATGCTGCCACCTCCGTGGGAAAGGGTGAGAAGGGAGAGCGCCTGTACCCACTGGGTGCGCCTCCTCTGTTTTTTGGAATAAATCGCGTGCTGCGCCTGCCCGTTTGGGAATAAATGGCTCTCTCTGGTCTCTAGGACATTTCGAAAGGAATGGGGTTACAGGATGGTTTAAAAGGTGGAATAAACCCCACCCAGTACATTGTGAAGAAAGAGGCTTTTTAGAAGTCATAGTTCTTTGGGAGGCGCCTTCTATAAAGCCTAATGGGCTGCGAGACTGCCACTCCCAAGAAGCAATGTGACTACTTCCTATTGTATTTTTTTTTTTACATTAATAACAGGAAACAAAGGCAAGTGAAGTGTTTGTGTGAGAGAGAGAGAGTGCGTGTGTGTGTGTGTGTGTGTGTGTGCATGTGCACGCCCAAAAGGAATGGGGAGAACAACGGATTTCTCCCAGAAAACTAAGATGCTAAGTATTACATAAGAACATCAGAAGAGCCCTGTGCTGGATCAGGCCAAGCGGCCTCTCTAGTCCAGCTCCCTGTATCTCTTGGTGACCTCACCAGATCCCACTGGGAGCCCACGAGACCACCAGATCCCTGTCTCCCGACACCATTCCTCTGCATCTGGGATTTGAAGGTCCCTTCCTTCTAAGCCTGGAGATGATCCATCCCCATCATGGCTTGTAACCTGCGATGGACTTTTCCTCCAGGAATCGGTCCAATACCCTTTTAAACGCATCTAGCTGCCAGGTGCCATGACCACATCCTGTGGCAAGGGGTTACACAGGCTATCAACACGTTGGGTCAAGAAATATTTTCTTTGGTCTGTTCTTACTCTAGCGACACCCCATTGGAATGGATGTCCCCTGACGGTTCTGGTCTCGCGTGAGAGGGAAAAGAGCCTCCCTCTCTCCACTTTATATCCATCCCCGGCAGAATTTTATACGTCTCCATCGTGTACCCACCCTCAGGCGTCTTTTCTCTTGACTCAAGAGCCCCAAACGCTGTCGGCCTTTCCTCACCAGGGAGGTTCCCGAGCCCAGTTCTTATTTGAGTCGCTCCCTTCTGCTCCTTTTCCAGTTCCACTGTAAGCAATACTCCAGGTGTGGCCTTACCATCGTTTTGTACAACGGCCTTAGAAGGTTGGCTGTTTTATTTTTCAGTTTCCTTTTTAATGATTCCCTAGCATGGAATTGGCCTTCTTCCCTGTGGCTGCACCCTTTGATCGAGACCTATTAAGAGGTCTTCTTCTTTGTTTTGTTTTTTCTCCTAGGAGACGGCAGAAGGACCCTCGAGAGTCCATCACGGTCACCCTCGCTTTGTGGAGAAATGGATACCGTTTCTGTGAAGTCAGACCAGGTAGAGGAGGGGATTCGATCTTGTGTCTACTTTCTTAGTCCTGAAGGGGGCACATCATCTTCCTTTTTTCCACCTTCCTTTGGATGCGGCTTGACGGTGGGGCAGGGGAACCTCCAGCCACTTCTCCATTCATTCTCCTTCGGGGACCCTGGCCTTTGCCTTCTAACCCGGAAACCTTTGCTCCTCCGTCTTCCAGGATCTGGAGACCTTTGAGGAGATGGCCGTCCATTTCACCGCCTTGCATGGAGGGGGCCTGGGGGCTTCCCGCTCCAAAGCCGAGCGCTCCACGGGAGGAAACCAGAGAGGAGAAGGGTGGAGCTGTGGAAGCCTGGGTAAGCCTCTTTCTTCACAACGCGAGAGACCTGCAGGATAAGATCACCAAAGTCTGCCCAGAATCTTGATTCATGCCGCGGGGAGCCAGATGTTTCAGGGGGAAGCATCCTCACCTTCTACAGAGGCATCCATACAACCTTGGAGGTCGGTGGAGTTAATCCACAGCCACAAGGACCAGTATTGGAGGAGGCAGAACCAGGGGAGGGCAGGATGAAGGGTGGCAGCCACAGTACGCCTACAAACAGAGAACCGCATCCATTGAGCAGTGTCATATAAAGCGAGGGTCACACCCTTTGGGGGTTTTCAGACTCTCGTGACAAGAATCTCCTAAGCAGAATCCTGGGGATTCCAGTGCACAGACCCACACCAACAAGACACCTTCCATTAGCTCACCTGGGGGAAAAGGGGCCTCAGAAGCTCCATGGCCGTGCTTTGTTGTTGTTTAGTCCTTTAGTAGTGTCCGACTCTTCGTGACCCCGTGGACCAGAGCACACCAGGCCATTCTGTCCTCCACTGCTGAGGGGAAATCTGAAGGGCAAATCCTTCTTATGGGCCCTGTTGCCTGCTTGCATTTTGCCAGATTTCCCATATTGGTTTAAAGCATTTTCGTTTCACTCTGACTGCCCAGCAGAGTTCCTGCAAAGTGATTTACAGTGAATTAAAATGAAGTCTTTTTTTTTTTAATTATAAAAATACTGATTCAAAATATTTTAAAATCCCATTAATAATATTCCTTAAAAGCAGATCCATCTGTCAAAGGACTCACACATCGTCACAGAGACCAAAGGTCCTCTGGAATGAGAGTCATTTTATTCAATTATTTGGAGCACTGTAACCCAGAGGATGTGGTGGCGCTGTCGGTTAAACGACAGAAGCCTCTGTGTGCTGCAAGGTCAGAAGACCAACCATCGTAAGATCAAATCCACGCGATTGGACTAAATGTCAAGGGGAACCTTTACCTTTACCTAGCCCAGAAAGACAACCTGTAGCTTTGTGAGATCTCAAAACAAACATGGAATGGCTTACTGTGAGATCACTAGCAAAAGAAAAATAGGTTAGATACCAGCTGCGGCCCTACCTGGACGAGTGGAGTCTCATGACAGTCACACATGCACTGGTAACATCCCGCATAGATTACTGCAATGCGCTTTACGTGGGGCTGCCTTTGAAGACGGTCCAGCGACTGCAACTGGTCCAGAATCGAGCTGCGCGGCTGGTGAGTGGTGCAGCCGCCAGGGAACATATCAAGCCGATTCTGTATAAGTTACATTGGCTACCAGTTGCTGCCCGGGCCCAATTCAAAGTGCTTGTTTTGACATATAAAGTCCTAAAAGGCTTGGGCCCTGGATACCTGAAGGTCCGCCTCCTTTTCCATATGAGCCTACCTGGCAGTTAGGATCTAGCCAAGGGGCCCTTTTGAAAGAGCCGACCCTCAAGGAGATAAAAGGGAGGGCTTGTAGACAAAGGGCCTTTTCGGCAGCTGCCCCCAGACTATGGAATGCCCTCCCGACTGAGATTCGTCTGGCGCCGACACTGATGACATTTTGGCGCCAGGTCAAAACCTTCCTGTTCCAGAAGGCTTTTAACTGAAATAATATTAGCTGTGGGTCTGATGGCAATTTTATATATATTTTAATTGTATTAGCCGCCCAGAGAACTTTGGGTAGTTTGGGCAGCATATAAATTAAATAAATAAATAAAATAGTTCTTTTAAAAAAAAACGAGCCCCTTGCCTCAACCCATCCGTGAAGCCAGCTACCAAAGATGGACCCATTTTTCCTCCTGTTGCAGGTCGGTGGTGGGGCCAACATGTCCTTGACTTTGCTCCTGGTTCATAGAATTAGTTAAACCCAGGGGGAGACGGAAGTTCAGCATGGAGAGCCGGTGCTTCCCTCTCTCAGGACAGGAGTTATCAGAAGGAAGCGCAAGGATGGGAAAATCTAGGGGAGATAAAAGGTTCTTCACTTTGAGCATAATGAGACGGTGGAACTCACAGCTACCAGTTGCATCCAAGCTGCTGATTTTCAAGAGAAAGCCATCGATGGCTCCCCGTCAGGATGATTGCATGGCCTCACAGGTTTTGAGAGCAAAGTGGCCCAGGGGGCAGTGACAACCCCCCCACATGTCTTGTTCCTCGTTGCCTATCCTTGCTCACGGGCTCATGGCCATGTGGGTTGGCCTCCTGCTGTCCTCATCCCCCACATGGCTTGACGGAGTCTACAAGAGAACTCAACGCTTCTGAGACGGGGGACTCCTGAATATCTCACGGGGTCTGGAAGTCATTTTTCCCCCCTGTTTCTCGCTTTTCTTCTAAAGGGCTCCCGGTTCCCAGACCCAATTTCGTCTCTTGGCAGGAAGAGGGAGAGGATCCGTCCGTGGAGGACTCCGAGGAAAGAGAGAGACTAGAAGGTAAAAAGGACGGTGCTCAGCTCTGGTATGAACTGAAGCCTGTGGCTTCCTTGAGGGAGTCGGTCTGTCTCATATTCAGTCTTCCTCCTCTCTTTCTGCTCCCTTCCCTGTTCCCACCATTGCTGTCTCTTCCAGGGAATCCTCATGAGGTTCCTGGAGGAGAAAAGCCTCAGCTGCCACATTTTTGCCTCCAGAGATAGTTCAGGCTTGATTTGCTCTGGGACCCATGCGCTCCTCTTTTCAGATACAACACATTTCAGATGAATCGGGGGTGGTGGTGGTTTCCACCTGTCCGTTTTCTTCACTGTCCAGTCTTCACGGCCCCACATGGTGATCGGGAATGCGAGAGGGTGGATCATCTTGGTCTAGCAGAATATGGGCCCCTAAATCTCAACGTTCCACAATCCAGCCATCCCATTCCCTGAGGTTTTCCTGCTTGGCCAGGGAGGGGCCCTCGCCAGTCTGTGGGAGAGGTCCTCTCCGCTCCGTTACCTCATGAACCTTTCTGTTGGTAATTCCGGGGGACAAATCTCTCCTTCTTACATGTCCGAAACTCTGGGAGGGTCGCCTTGTTCCTTCTGCTTTTCCTCAGAGGCTCTTCAGTAGACCTCAAAGAGTCCATATTATTTTTTCTCCCTCATTCATTAAGCCCGTCAGTCACCTTTTATCCTCTGGTCCTCACGGCTTATATTTCTTCTCTTCTGATTTATTTTTCTTCCCCAGTTCTTCAAAGGGAGAACCTGGAAGGCTCCGAAGAGGGGCCGAGGATGGGAACGGAGGAGAAACGAATCGTCTTTGAAGGGATTGATTTCCATGAGATCCCACTGCCGGAGCCCTACGGCGAAGGGAGCAGAAGGCCCAACGGGGAGAACCATTTGATCTGCTCTCATTGCGGGAAGAGTTTCAGCCAGCAGGTCTACCTGACCAAGCACCAGAGAATCCACCCAGCCGCAAGAACCTACAGGTTCCTGGACTGCAGGAAGCCCTTTGGCCCCGTCTCGGAGGCCGACGCTCCCCTGAGGTTCTACGCGGCGAAAAAGTCCCACGACTGCTCGGCGTGCGGGAAGAGTTTCAGTGACCACAGGAGCCTTAAAAGACACCAGAGGATCCACACGGGAGAAAAACCCTATAAGTGCCCCGAATGCGGGAAAAGCTTCAGCCGCAGCCCGGAACTGAAATCGCATCAAAGAATCCATACCGGGGAGAAGCCCTATAAATGCACCGTCTGTGGGAAGATGTTCAGTCAGAGCTCGAACCTCAGCAAGCACCAGAGGATCCACACGGGGGAGAAACCTTATACCTGTGCAGAATGCGGCAGGAGCTTCAACCACAGCACGCACCTGAAGCGGCACCAGAGGGTTCACACGGGGGAGAGGCCTTACAAGTGCACCGAGTGCGGGAAGAGCTTCAGCCAGAGCATCATCCTGAAACTGCATCAGAAAATCCACACGGGGGAGAAGCCCAACCGGTGCTCCGAGTGCGGCAAGAACTTCAGCAATAGTGGGAATCTGAAAATACATCAAAAGATCCACCGAGGGGAGAAGCCCTTTAAGTGCACCGAGTGCGGGAAGTGCTTCAGCCAAAGCATCATCCTCAAATCGCATCAAAGGATCCACACAGGAGAGAAGCCCTACAAGTGCTCCGAGTGCGGGAAGAGCTTCGGGGACAGCCGGAGCCTAAAAGTCCATGAAAGGATCCACACCAAGGAGAAGCCCTATAAGTGCTCGATGTGCGGGAAGAGCTTCAGCGTGCGGAAAAGCCTCAACGTGCACCAGAGGACTCACACGAAGGAGAAGCCCTACAAGTGCGCCGAGTGCGGAAAGAGCTTCAGCGACAGCCGGATCCTGAAAGTGCACCAAAGGATCCACACGGGGGAGAAACCCTATAAATGTGCCGAGTGCGGGAAGAGCTTCAACCAGAGCCCGCACCTTAAAAGGCACCAAAGAACCCACACAGAGGAGAAACCCTATAAATGCGCCGAGTGCGGGAAGAGCTTCAACCAGAGCCCGCACCTTAAAAGGCACCAAAGAACCCACACAGAGGAGAAACCCTATAAATGCGCCGAGTGCGGGAAGAGCTTCAACCTTAGAGTAGAGTTTATTTGTCTGGAGTGGAGGAGAAACCATCAGCAAGCAGCATGCAGCTGAAGATTGGTGGGTTTTAAAACAATTAACCCCCCCCCAAAAAAAACTACTTTAAAGGGTTTGGAAAAAGAGGTGGAGATTTCCATTTATTTTGGGGTTTTTTCTTCCTATCATGTTTGGGGTTGAACCAGATGGGAGAGAAGGTTTAAGCCTCTTCCACCCGTATACCTTGGTCCTGGGGTCAATAGGAGCTGAAGGCCCTTCACTTTAGAGTTCTTTTTTTAAAGGGGGGGGATATTTAGTTGTTCTTTTTAACTCTGTCGCTTGACTCTGAGTTGCCTTGAGATGGGGAATCTTCCTGGTCATCTCGGGTGAATACACTTTTCTCTCTGCTGGCAATATCAAGAGTCCAAACAAGGATGGATGCAAAACTACAGCTTCCTTCCTTCCTTCCTTCCTTCCTCTGTTTGCTACTTCCTTCCTTCTTGAGTAGAGGATATTCTTTTTTAAAGAAAAAAATAAATCTGGCCTTCCTGTAAGATTTATCAAACCATGTTTAATTAAACCATGTAACTTTGGCTATTTCTTTGATCCTCTCTTGTAAATGACCTTAGGTCTGGAGGAGTTGGGGGGGAAATAATTTTTTAATGAAAAAAATAGAATACTTTTTTTTTAAAAAAATCCTGTTTGAAGGAGCTCAGCAAAACTGTGGTCAGTTAAGTGTAACTGTCCAAACCTTTTCCCCCATCAGAAGCTCTGTGATTCTGGTCATGGTAGCAGGTTATTAACCCTATAAAATTTGGCTGGAACTGTTTACAAATTGTTGTGGCATAAAATACTTTTGTGTCTTCATTATTCTCTCCTGCTACACCCTCAGATATTTCCAGTTCAATGATTTTGGTGTCTTTTGGAGGGGGAAACGTGAGGGGTTTCTGTTGTTGTTTAGTCATTTAGTCGTGTCCAACTCTTCGTGACCCCATGGACCAGAGCACGCCAGGCCCTCCTATCTTCTACTGCCTCCCGGAGTTGTGTCAAATTCATGTTGGTTGCTTCGCGGACACTGTCCAACCATCTCATCCTCGGTCGTCCCCTTCTCCTCTTGCCGTCACACTCTCCTAACATCAAGGTCTTTTCCAGGGAGTCTTCTCTTCTCATAAGATAGCCAAAGGATTGGCGCCTCAGCTTCAGGATCTGTCCTTCCAGGGAGCACTCAGGGTTGATTTCCTTTAGAATTGATAGGTTTGTTTTCCTTGCAGTCCAGGGGACTCTCAAGAGCCTCCTCCAGCACCACAACTCAAGTTGGTCACCCTCACAGGGGTGTTGTGGAGACATGGCGTGCAAATCCCGTGGGAGGAAAGGCTGGCTGTAAGCAGAAGAAGGAGCTAAGAGGGGTGTGAGGCTACCAGGCATTTTGGGGGACTGCAAATCCCAGAATCCCCCAGGAATTCCCCAGAGGAGGTGCCCCCCCAATAACCCAAGTCTACACCTCAAGATGTATTTGCCTCCATCGGTGCCGCCTTCATCCTGTTTTTTACTTTCTCCTGAGCTGGCGCTCAAGGAACTCTAATCTCCCTGCCCAGGAGGCTCTATGGAGGGTGCCTCCCACAGAACTACGCCTCCTGGGGAAATGTTGGATCACAGTCGGAGAGCCACACCATCCAGTTCTTGAGTGGGGGAGAAGCAGATTCCCCCTGTGCTTGTCCCTCCCTCCTTGTGACCAGTTATCTGGACTTGGTTGGAATCAAAGCATTCCACGGAAAGGGTCTTTTCGCACCTCAGGATCGCTAGAGGGTGGGAAGAAGGATGCGATTCAGCTGGGTCCAGCCTTCCACTCTGCCTACCCTCCCCTTCCCAGTCTTTATGGGTTGACGCACCCCATGGACAAAACACTGGTTTAACTGCAGTCGAGACTCCGCTCCCAACCTGGGTTCGATCCCTTTGAGGTCGGCTCAGCCTTCCATCCTTCCGAGATCCCTGCTTGGTGGAGTGTCTGATCCCAAGGCCCTCTGCTCCTTCCCGACCAGGCTCCTTTGAGGGGGCTACCCCAAGGGAGACCTGAAAGTCTTCCGATCGAGACAGGGCCTTCACCAGGGTGGCCCTTGACCTTGTGGAGTCAGCTCCCTTTGGAGAAGCTGACACCTGGCTCCCTCCCTTTTTGGGGGAAGTCGGGCGTCGTTCCCTTTGGAAAGCCTGCAAACGTACCCGTTCTTTGGCTGAGCTGCCGGGCAGATCAACCCTTCCTACCCAAATTACCTCCGGCTGATGAACTCTTTGTCTTGTGATGGAGGGAAAATGCGGTGCTAGATGAGCGACATGGGCTTTCTTTAAAAAGAAACACCAGGAAAAAAGAGAGGATTGGGTCTCTGGACTCCCCCCCCAAACCTTCAGGTCCTGATCCAGCAAGAGGCCTTGGCAGGTGGTTGTGTGGGAGGAAGAGGAAGGATCTCCTAGAAAAGGGTCCACGATGGCCCCCCTGGGTCTTGGAAGGGTCAAGAAGAGGTGCCGGTAGAGGGGTGTGTGTGTGTGTGTGTGTGTGTGTGTGAGAGAGAGAG